ATTAAGTATTGTATTCCATCCAAATCTAACTGTCTGGCTCATGGCAATATGATAACGTGCGACGCTAGTGTAAGGTTAGTGCTAATAAGGTTCATATTCCTTGAGAAAGCGTGGGTATATTGAGGTTATATATTGCAAAATGACGTCATTTTACTCCGTTTAACTATATCTCCAAACAGCATTAACATTATTGAAGTACAACTCTCTGTAGTTTAAAATTTCTATTGAATGATCATTAGAACTTGTAAAATCTAAAGGATATTTTTTATTATCAATTTAATCAAATCTTTAATATATTTCAAACGCAGAAGTAGGCTATTGAAATTGATTTTAAATGTTCTCTCGGTTTAAATGATAGATCTACATGTATAATAACATTCATGATCACTTTACAGACATACAGGTTGGGTAAATATTTTATTGAAATAAATACATTAAAAACTTAATTTAAAAGATGGAAATATTTAATTTTGGTTGTACCCGCGTACTATATATTGGAATACAATACAGAAAAGTTTGCTCAAATTGTCCTCTACAATAATGCATGTTTTTCAATGTCAGATACTTGTCATCATTCGCTAATGGTTTCTCAAATATTTATGGATTCAACGTTTTCCGGGGTTTACGAAGTTAGGTCTACTACACATCATCAATAAGAATGGATAGGATTGTTTGCCACTTGTGCTGAGATCTCCATGATTAAAAATTTCGTAATCACAATTTTTCTGATTTTTCTTAAATTTTTGGAAACCAGATTAGCGCAAATGCAATTAATAACTTGAATTTTATTTACTAAAAAAATTGTTTCTTTCAAATTCATTGTGAACACAAATTTTTGTCGTATTATTTTCATTTAATAGCAATGAATTTCCGAGAAATTGTAGTTTTCCAATTAGTTGGTGATTTCATTCAGCCACATCAGTAAAATCTTAAAATATCAGCAATGGTCAGGCCCCTTAATAAGAAGTAAATACCTTCAGAAAAATTATTTTCATTTCTTTTTAAATTGTTATTGGCTCAATTTCATTCACAATCCCCCCCAGAAATTCATTAATAATGTAAATTAAAATAAAAAATATGTTGTTGTTGTTGTTATTTATGGCTTTATTGGGACTCAATTCATACAAATTTGGCCACTTACCGTAGACACAAAAAGAACATATAAGCAAATCAAAATTACAAAGGGACCAGAGATTCTCAACAAAAATGACAGAAAAGCTTTAAAAGCAGTTAAAAACAAGTTAAATATTCTAAGAATAAAAATTTAAAAAGGTAGAAGCACCATAATAAAAATCCGTGTAATCAGGACATATTTTCTCTGATCCTCCAATAAAGAGTACACAAATCACTATTCCGTTTCAAATAAATATATATCGAAGTTGAAATTGTCAATAAATTTAATTGTCGAGAAATTGATTAATAAAAATCTTTTTATTCTGTTTATCGTAGTAATTTTAAAAAAAATGAAATGAAAAGATAAATATATTTTAGAAATCTAACTAATGTTTACACCAACAATTAATTAAAAAAAATTATACGAATATATACCTTTCGAACGAACTTTCACAATTTGCAAAGTAACGAGTAAATTCGACATATTTGATAATTATCACTAATATTTTCGTATTTAAAAATTCTTATTTATATTAAAATTATAATTACTTCTTTCAAATCACGAAAAAAAAAAAAAAAAAAAAAAAAAAAAGAACTTAAAAGAGCCTTCCAAAATGATTGATCTATCATTTTTTTGTTGAAAAGATATCAAAGCATCCATTTTTTAATTAGGGTAACCATATATGGAAAATACAAAAATGTTCATCTTCCAAAGTCTTCTAACAATAAAAAAAAAACCTGCATATATGTCTCTAATTTCTTACAATTTGCTTTGTCACTCATAACGTTTTAATTGAAGGAAATAATAATTCCCAACTGCATATAGGATCAAAGAATATTCTTATAAATTGTTTGAAGTTTAAGAGAAGTATTATCATGAAATTTTCCTCTCTATTCTCGATTTTCCCTTCTATTGACTTCTCGACATCCAAACAATTTCCCTGATCCGCTTTGAGAAATCGAACCGTCCTTTTTCTTTCACATTTACGAATACCTAACTTCGGAATTCAATGCGCATTATGCGAATTCCACCAAGAATTCTTCGAATTAATTATAAAATTGCTGCCTGCTAAAAATTCGTAAACAAAATACTTTTTCGCAGTTCGTCATCAATTAGTTTTGTATCTTAAAATAAATATTATTAGAGGTTCTTCATTGTAACAATGTTATTTGACTAATAAAATTGAAAACAAAAATTTGTTATGCCCCATCAGTTAAATTTTATTTACCTAGATTCGCTTGATTATTTTATTTAGCTGATCAAGAATTTTTATTCCTTTATCTGGTGAGACGTATCACAAATTATTTATATTTAAAGGAAATAATCTTACGAGTAATCTTCTTATTTCAAAGAATTTCGTACAAACTTTATATATATTTCGCAAAGTATGTGTGTGTATGTCAGCCTATGAACGGATACAATTTACATCCAAAATTTCAGCAAAATTGGCAAGTTACTTGTTATATAAGGACGTGAGCTGGACATGTGAATAAAAGTAAGTCATTGTAACTACGTACATCCAAAGTCCAATACGAGGAGCTCCGTCATGTTGAAACACAAAACTTTTAGTGTCGCCATTCTTTCTGTGAATTTGATTTTTTGCGATGTTGCAGGAAAAACCCCTTGGAATGTTTTTTTGTTTTATCCTGAATTGAATTTATCCTCATTTCATCATCGATTATAGCCTGATGATATTTATTTACAACTATGTAAACTGAGTGACATTAGATTTAGAAATAGTACATTTTAATTTTTAATATCATTTTGAAAATTTTTTAATTCGAAATTTTAAAGGTATAAAAGTATACATATCCACTAAAAATTATAAATAACAGTTATTTCAAAAATGTCGATGGCGTAAAGTTTTCTAAATAATCTGAAAGATAAAATGTGCAGATTTTTTTTAGATATAACCATTTTTAAATGCAGCTGAATATTTTAACTTAATTAGGCTCCCAGCGATAAAATGCATAATTTATCAAAAGCACGATTTTGGTTAGTTGCTACATTTTTCAAATAAATTGCTGTATTTGTTCATATAAATAAATAATTCAGTTCCGACTTACCGCAAAGAAAAGTGACTAGTCAAGAATTTAAAGATTATTTCACGTATCTGACTGTTTTTTAATCTGGAATTATAAATTACAAGCGTAATGAAGTAAAACAGCATATTTAATGCTACTTTAGCCGAGGAAAATTTTTTGTTGAAGTTATTAGTAGGAATTGAGGTTCGATATAATAAAACTAAACACCCTAAAATGCGATGTCATTAAATTATCTTACATAAATAAATACATACCAAGGATATGTAAGAATTTCAAAATGAAAGTAGCAAAATAAAACGTGTTACTTAAGATATGTAATTAAAATACTACAATATGTACTAATACTCTTACAAAAACGGTAAATATAATTGTTTCAGTATATATTCATAAAGGTATCAAAATTTAAAATTAAGTTAAATATAATATACTCATTTCAAAAAAAGAGGCAGTTTTAAGAAAAATAGTTCGATAACATCGAAATTCTACCTGGATATTCCTTTGTATCAAGTATGATAATGATTAAATTTTGGTGGCCATTGACTTCGGCTAAATGGCGTTTCTACTGAGTAATTAGCATTGTATAAAAAGGGATCTACCGATTTAACTTTTCTCGGTCTTGGCGTTACAATTCAATGGAGACACAATTAAAAATATTGTTATGAAACTGCCGGCATTTGTAGTCAATTGAACTGGCGCATAATCGAGAATGATGAAGCTGGCTGATCATATGAAGCAATTGACCATCATCTTCGTACGGATATTGCTGTGCAAAGGTGCTGGAAGCAATGGTTGCAGCAAGGAACTCATCTGCCCAATGAAGATATTGGATGGCGAAAATGCACGAAAGTGAGACAATAAACTAGTATTCTGAGAACAGCCAATAATGCTGAATAAGACTTTTATTGCCAATCGAATGCTTGAAGTTGGCTGAGGCACCTGCTCAGAATTACTCTTCTGTGCAAAGGTGCTGGTAGCAATCAACTCATCTACAGAATGAAGACTAAAGTGGAATAGGCAGTATCGGATGACTGTACGACAGGCCTGAGCTGTCCCGACGACATCATTGTCTGACATCTAACAAGCCTCTTTCATACCACCCTTGGTCCTTTCAACCATTCTATGGATCTTGGATGAGATGGAGTTACATTACCGGAAGTTTGTCTTTAGCCGTACAGCACCGACAGTTGTCTAGAGCGGTGTCATAGCTGATTATCATCGCTACCGTCAGACTGGCATGACAGGACAGAACTGTCCCAGCATCATCATTGTCAGACACCCAACGGGCTACAGCCTTTTTTTCTTACTACTCGTGGTATCTTCTACCACCCCACGGATCTTGATTTATGTGGGGTTACTCTACCGGCAGTCTGTAAGACGACTGTTGGTTATGTAGGGCCTGAGTCAGACGTCTAAAGTAGTGTCAATTCTGATCATCATTTGTTACGAGCAGACTGGCATCACACAGTGTTCAGCGATGAATCATACTTCAGTCTTGGTGTAGATGACCATCGGATTGATACAAATGAATAGTCTATTTTAAAAAAGGAAATTTCAAGTTAACATAAATTTAAATTATACATGATGACTTCTAATTGTAGTATTCTAGGGGCCTGATGGCCGAGTGGCTAGCGCTCTGGTGCTCGCTACCACAAGTTTCGGGTTCGAGTCCTGGTGGTACCATGGATGTTTGTAGGGGTTCGGAATCCACTTTAAGCCGTAGGTCCCTGTCTAATATGATCGTAGAATGTTGTGGGGGGTAGTGTTAATCGCACCCGTAGCATATCTTCAAGTACACATGCCCCCTGGTTAGTGCTAAATGAGTAACATCGGTGCAGCCCTTGCTTATGGCATAAAGATAACGTTAGATCACCGTTAGATCACCGAAGTTAAGCATCATTGGGCGCGGTCAGTACTTGGGTGGGTGACCACCTGGGAACACTGCGTGCCGTTGGCAAATTTGGGACCTGAATGGCCGAGTGTCTAGTGCTCTGGCGCTCGGTGCCACAGGTTTCGGGTTCGAATCCCGGCGGTGCCATGGATGTTTGTAGTGGTTCGGAATCCACTTTAAGCCGTAGGTCCCGGTCTCATATGACTGTAAGAGCGTCACGGAGCAAAAGTCAGGCTTCTACCTACGGGTGCTCCATCACAACAGAAGCTGCTTCCTTCCCCTTCAATCATGAGTCCATATGGGCTCGTGGGCTTGGCCAGCCAAGTGGGATAAGAAACAACAACAAAAACAGATAACTGTCTAGTACTGCCAGTTGCATTAGAAAAAAAAATTTAGTATTTTATCGTACATGATGCAAGGATACATTACTTATATTACTCGTACAATCAAAATACACAATATTTACATTTAATATTCGAATTAATATTTGTATACTTTGTGTGTTATATTTCGAAATTACATCTCCTTCATGTAAATACACTACTTGGTAAGACATTTTGACATTTCAAATAAATTTTATTTTAAATAGAATTTTGTGATTGCTAAAAATACAAGTATTTTATTCTGGGATAAAATAAATACATGAAGATAAATATTATCTAAAAACGTTTGTCTTACAAATATAAAATTATCTCTTACACATCATTTATTAGAATTTAGCATTTGTTGTCAAGGAAATGCAAACATCGTATCTCGGAGATCCATTACAAAAAACTACATCCAAATAGATAATATTTTTTTCCCTGTCATTAAGATTTTATCTAAACAGAACCGTTTGTTGATCTTACTTAATAGAATGCTTTACCTTCCCTAAAAATAATTTTGGTAGTCTTTCTACCATTATTTGTCGTAGTGAAATTGCGACTGTATAAACAAGAATAAGAGCATTTATTTTTAAATACATTGTTTACAAACAACTGAAACAAACAGTTTGTAAACTGTAGTGGTTTTTTATTTGTCAAATATATTTAATTGTGTCATTTATGTCAAATGTTACATGTGCTGTAGGTATATTAATCTACTTCCAGATAAAAGACAATTGATTAATTTATGAATAATCACTTGCAATTTCAAATAATATTGACATCGATTTCACTAGTCATTTAAGTTAGTTATCAATGTGATTTACAAACATTGGCTAACAATAATTGTTTTTAGGTAATTCAATATCTTCTTCTAATCTAATGAAATCTTTTGAATCTTTGTTATATCATGCTATTCACACAGTTTAACTTGATATAATATTCTTTACGTCATTTCCTATTCTGACTTAGTTTCTAATTGGCATTTCTTGAAAAACTCGATTTCTTACTTGTTTCAAGTGAAAATACTAAATTTCTTACTTCATTCAATTAAAAAATACTTTTCTTACTTCATTCAATTAAAAAATACTTGTTTTCTTATTTTCTTCAATTAAAAAATAGTTTTCTTACTTCATTCAATTAAAAAATACTTGTTTTCTTATTTTCTTCAATTAAAAAATGCTTTTCTTACTTCATTCAATTAAAAAATACTTGTTTTCTTATTTTCTTCAATTAAAAAATACTTTTTTTCTTACTTCATTCAATTAAAAAATACTTGTTTTCTTATTTTCTTCAATTAAAAAATACTTTTCTTACTTCATTCAATTAAAAATACTTTGTTTTCTTATTTTCTTCAATTAAAAAATACTTTTCTTACTTCATTCAATTAAAAAATAATTGTTTTCTTATTTTCTTCAATTAAAAAATACTTTTTTTCTTACTTCATTCAATTATAAAATACTTTTCTTACTTCATTCAATTAAAAAATACTTTTCTTACTTCATTCAATTAAAAAATACTTGTTTTCTTATTTTCTTCAATTAAAAAATACTTTTCTTACTTCATTCAATTAAAAAATACTTGTTTTCTTATTTTCTTCAATTAAAAAATACTTTTCTTACTTCATTCAATTAAAAAATACTTGTTTTCTTATTTTCTTCAATTAAAAAATACTTTTCTTACTTCATTCAATAAAAAAATACTTGTTTTCTTATTTTCTTCAATTAAAAAATACTTTTTTTCTTACTTCATTCAATTATAAAATGCTTCATTTCTTACTTCATTCAGTTAAAAAAGTACTTAATTTCATTTTTTTTTTACTGTGAATCCCTTTTAATTTTTTCGCCACTGAATATTAACATTGTAAGAATATAACGAAGAAATTCACTACGTCACAAATTGCTTTCTGTAACACAACACAATTGGGGTGATAAGGATTATGAAAATAATTTAATTAGCAGTTATGAAATAAAGTTAATGAATAATAATGATCAAAATGATTTTGAAATCTTGATTTGTTTATCTTTATTTGTAGTTTTTCATTTAGACTACGATTCATACTACGAAACGCAATAAAATTCCTCTGGCAGATCGACAAATTAATAAGGAAACACTGTAGTAAGTATTGTTATCAAGTATCAAATCTAGGTTTAATGATCATTAACTCTATGCATTTTCATGGATTGTGTATACGAAACTCGAAGCTTCATCATAGTTAGTTGTAGGGCTAAGCTCTTCACACACATAATCGTGATACATGGCTGAATAGGAGTATGTGTTAAGAATAGCACAACTTGTGTATTAGTTTTGTACTACATGATGCATAAAAGTACATGCATTACTGAAGCGAAAAGTTAATTGCTTGCTTTCTAAACATTTAACCCTCAACAAAATTATTTTGTTAAATATAATAAAAGGATTTTTACTCTAAATATATTAATTGTAGTCTAAATTTCTGGAATTTATGTATATGTTTATTTTAAAAATTTAATATTCCAAGAATTTTTTTATTTTATTATTATTATTATGAAAAATTTCGAAGTCGGATCTGATTGGCAGATATTGCGCTGATTTACAAACCAAGGGTGATAGAAACTCCACAAGCGATACCGAACTGAAGAATTCCGTGTCTTCATCAGGAAGGGGCATGTTAAATCTGTAGGTCAGAATATCCCTCCGTTGAGTTCGATAAGCAGGCAAGCATTATGAAAACATCTTGGATGCCATCCCTGGGGTATTCATTCAAAATTGTGGCACAATTTGAGTACATTGCAGCAGGCCCACATGGTCCAAACCCAAAACCTGTATAACGCTGAATCTTATACATCTGAGGCTCTAGTAGACGAATGACTTAGATTAAAGTGTCCATCATTCGAAAACAATGCAAACTCCTGGATTAAATCAAGTCTAGAACAAATGTTTCAGCGAAAAAAAAGCGAACATCTAAAATCTCCAATTTCTTTCTTGTTAAATGAAGCGAATACTTTGTGAGTTTAATGAGACCAAAATTAGAATTTGGATTTTGCAAGAAATTTTTCTCTTTTAGATGATCATTTTATAAATTATTCTACTTCAGAACTGATACCTCAAATAAGAAAAAACTATATTTAACTCAGAAATAAAATAGCTACCTAAATTATTTTTGTTATTTTTGAGTTCTTGTAACTTGTGCTATCTGGGTTAAAGTCCTTGTATTTTTCTTTTTTTTTATTGTAAAGATACAAAGCTCATACATCACACGGAGTATAAAAACGTCAACTTTTATGACGTGCTGGGAAACAGTCTGTAAAAGCTTTCTCTATGATGAGGTATTGTTTTTCTTATGCGGAAAAACATGTTAGTTTGGATTGTCACCTTTTATTGGAAGAAAAAGATGAGTTTTAAGTGCGGTTGTTATATAAGTTTCTTGGAATTGTAAGAATAGAATTTCCTATTGTCTTAAATTTTTGATCACTTAAAATGTTAGTAACAGATTAGTTTTAAGTTGAAATATGACGAACAAAAATCGCTTGAGGTGGTTTTACGTAATTGAAGTTTTAGATGTTTTCTAAATTTTTTATTGATTTCTCTTTAAAAATTTTATTAAAAAAATCCATTTTTTTTATTTGTTGTTTCTTTTTTTTAAAATTTAAACGAATATTTTAATTATTATATGTTAATTTTCAAGTAAATATATAAAAAATTGTGCTTTCTTCAAAAAAAAAAAAAAAAAAAAAAAAAAAAAATGCGAAATTGAAATTTAGCATGAAGTTTTTTTTTAATTTTAACAAAAATATTTTTGTCAATGAGCTACTTTTGAAAAAAGTTTCAAAGAATATGTCTTATGATGCAAATTATTTAAAAAAATATTAGCTCTTAGTTTATCCATTAATTCAATTTAGCTTGTTAAATTTCAAGCCCAGATCCCTGGTTTGAAAAATCTGATATGTTATCCTGCTTTACATAGGTCGCTCGGGCTCACATACGAGTTCATAATTCTTATCTTTTGTAAAAAAACACATTTTTCTTCTTCAAAGTTTCATTATTTATAAGCATTTTATTTATTATTAATGGGATTATTAATGATGATCGGTGATTGATTAAATATGGATCGTTCAATAATAACTTTTTGATTAACTGCCGCTGCACTCAAAAAATGCTATTGGTTCAAAGCACAGAGATATGGGGACCCGTCTTGAAATAAAGTCCCCTAAAAACTCAAACATCCAAACCTCAATGGGATTCTCCTTATCTCAATTGTATAAGAAGCTTGATCCCTCGTTCAACCGACGAATCGGTCCCTACATAGCAGCAGCACTTGAAATGCCCAGCCCTCTTGGGAGTTCGTCAGAGCAAATCCATCGCATGATATCCAAAGGCAGGGGACAAGCATCCAAAGGATCCCATGGGGACGAAATCCGGGCAGTCAGTTGTTGATCTCGAGCTCCACTGACTCAGAGGGGAAAGCGGGTTTCGTATTTAAGCCGAATTATCAATATTGTCCAGTAACTCGGACAGTTGTCCGGCCTATGTCTGTAACAGTAACCTTTTTTCATATTCAGTTGACCAAATCATAATGCATTTTTGGAAACAATGAAATGGTCAAGACGCTGGCAGTGTTGATTGGTTTGGTTTGGTTTGTCACTATACGGTAATTTTGTGCACGCTTTGGGTTAATTAGAGCGGGATCTAGAGTTTAAAGTCTGGCAATGTTGGAGAGA